AGTATCTAGGAAAAGTGTACTTTCTAACATGATTGCGCGGCTGACTGAGTTCTCAAAGCTAAGTTTCAACTCTACTCGAGTCACAGCATGATTTTTCCCTTTTTGCGCCAGTAGAATCTCTGTGTGCGGTCCTTATGGATGCAATTTTATTTTTTCAAAAGCAGGAGCAGTTCGTGTACACTGTTGCGCAATGTCGTTATTTAAGTAACATCTTATGTGATTGCAATCGTCTTTTATTTCTTTCAGTTAGGCATGCGGGTTGTAGATTCGTATGCCTCCAATATCGACGATCCTGTTTGAATGAGGGTGGCCTAGTAACGTTGTCCTTTGATGGCCAAGTTTTCAGAAACACTGCCGCTCACTGGGTGTGGTCGATTATTCCTCTCGATAGTCGAGCGGTGATCTGAGTGCATTATTTTTAGTCTCCCTTACATGAACGATTAAGTACTAGTCCATGTAGTTTTTGCAAAATTATGCTGACTTTGAGGTGGACGGTTTGACGAACAGTCAGTTCGTTGCCTTGGACGTGGCAGTCGATTCGATACTTCGTGACGACTGTGTGTTTCGTTTCAGGCGTTCTGATTATCAGTGGATTATGACGAATGGAGTAGGATTGTTACTGGTGAAAAATGATGGAAGCGGGGGAAGAAAAGGAGGTTCAACCTCTCGTACCTGACGTGAGTTCGTGGACCTGTTAAAGGATAAATTTTTTTCTGCGATTGCTTAATTTATTTTACTTTCATTCCTTCATGCTCCTCTCTACCTAATAATTGCTCAAATAAATTTTTTCTATACAATAAAGATGTCAATGGGCCACAAAAAGAAATTGTTATTTGTTCATACTTATTTCGTTTGCTAATTTAACGTTAATTTTTTTTCGTACCTCTCGCATATATTTATTTAAATTTACATGTTTATCTCAGCCTATACGTCTACATAATGTTTTCTGTTGTACCATCTATAATATGTACATTTGTCCTATGAATTAATTCTACGCTTATTGGAGTATGTTTTCTCATTAGAGAGTGCTACACGCGCCCCTCATTCGCTTTGTTTTTTTTTCAATTCACGTAATGCAAATTCTACTATTGATTGATGTTATTCATGCTTTGTTCATGCGTGCCTCCCCATTATAGTTGTTTTTTTTTTTTTTTTTTTTGCAAAACTAAATCTAACGTATATGAATATCTTGTTTGCAGCGCGTCCGGGGCCGTGAAAAAAAAATGTAATCGTAAACCTAATTAATCCCTCTCTTCTTGTCATATTTTCATGCTGTGTCCGAGGGCCGCGAAAATTTTTTACGTACAATCAGATGTTAAAGAAGGTTCTTTCGTGTGCCGCACCCTGTTTGCATTTTCTGGCGAGGCTTTTATCACGCATGCTTTTTTGATTTTATCCACGTGGTTCTTAGATGTGTTTCGATGTCATTCGGACAAAAATCTGAAAACTAATTCGTGCGGTAAGTATCCCGTACTTTGATGTTCGGTTGTGTTGTATGAATGCATGCACATCGGTAAATGTTCGTCCCAGTGATCATTTTGTTCTACATATGCCTTGATGTATTCCGTAAGAGTATGGTGCATTCTTTCGATGGCGCCGTTTGTTTGTGGGTGGAACGCTGTGCTGCCCATTTTGTCTATCTTAAATAGCCTTGCAAGTTCATCCATACTTTTATTCAGAAAGTGTGTGCCTCGGTCCAATAATAAATGTTCTGGTGTTGTTCTGTTCCCTCTAATAAATCATGTATGTTTGGCTCTTCTTGTTCATTTGTTGCAAGTTCCTTTGCTTGTTTTATGCTTTCTTTCTTTCCTTCTGTAGTAGTTTCTTATTCATCTGTAATTGCTTCCTGATTTTCGCTAGTTACGTTATGTAATGGTATGTCGCAAATTAGCTACTATTATTTCTTTCGACGGATTCGTCGTCAGTTGTATAGTTGAGAAGCTCGGCTTCTGTCTATGTAAAGTGTCAAGTTGTCGTTTGCGTGCCTTTTGTAATTTTTCTCTTTGTGCTAGTATTGCTGGCGTACTTGTAGCAGTTAATACCTTTTGATAGCCTGGCTCTTTCTTGATGTAGCCCAATTTTCCGTCTGCTGTCCCCTGCGAAATTAATTCTCCTTTTTCTGCAACTTCTCGTACTTTTCCCTCGTTTTGATTCCTTAGTGCTTGCTGCAGCGGCGAATTCTTTTGGTTAGGCTCCTCTGATTCAGAGTGCATCGCCGTTTTCTTGACCTTCTGTACTCATATCTGAACCTTTTTCGCTATCCTCGCCACAATATCGTGTTTTTTTTCGTGTTATAACGTTCAAGTTTACTGAGTCGGTGCCATGGATTTTTATTTTCTTCTGGTTGCCTTGAATTCTTTTCTTACGAGTTGTCCGTACGTTAAATATGCGCGCCTGTGGTCCGTCGCTATCGGCCGGTTCTTTATTCTCTTGTTCGTCTGCTAGCTGGTATAGCTCTTGGCGTGACCGTTCGGGATTCACTTCCCCCTATTTTAGTATTGGGTTTCGCGATAATGCGTCTGGTGGTCCGTTGTTTACGCCTGGGCGGTGTATAACTTCGAAATCATATCCTCTCAGTTCCGCTTTAAATCTGTTGAAACGAATGTCTGGTTTTTTAGATGAGTGAAAGTGCTTCAGCGGCTCGTGGTCTGTAATCACCGTAAATTTGTGCCCGTATAAATATGGTCTGAATTGCTTCTTTGCAAATACGATCGCCAATAACTCTTTGTCGTATGTCGGGTAGCGAAGTTCACTCCCTTTTAGGCATCGAGACGCGTACTCACACGGTCTATCTTTTTCGATCTCTTCCTGACTAGGGATCGCTCCAATCGCGTTATCTGACGCGTCTGTCGTGACGATAAAGGGTTTTTCCAAGTCTGGAGCAACGGGCACTGGTCCGCTACACAGTATTTCGATAAAAGCTTTGAATGCGTTTTCTTCGTTGTCACTCCACATAAATTTTGTGCCCTTCTTCAATAGCATAGGAAGGGGTCGGGCGATCTTCGCGTAGCCTTTTATGAATCGCGTATAATATCCGGAAAATCCCAAAAATTGGTTTGCCTTTTTTGCGTTTGTCGGACGTGGGTATTTTTTGGCTGCTTCGATCTTCTTATGATCGGTCTTTATTTGTCCACTACTTGCAATATGGCCCAATACTTTTGCTTCCTTCTTTAAAAATTGGCACTTCTTGGGTTCGATTGTCGAATTTGCGTCTGTTCGTCGTTTCAATAATTTAGTAAATTGCTCCCCATGCTCTTCAAGATTGGTTACAAAAACCATTGTGTCATCAAGATATACTTTGACCTCATGACCTTGCAAGCCTGCGAGTGCTAGCGCAATTGCCCTTAAAAATGTGTTCGGCGAGTCTTTACACCTTATGAGCATTCTTTTGTATTGGTAAAGCCCGTCCGGCCCCGAAAATGCCGTTTTGTGCGCGTCATCTTCGTGCACTTCAATTTGAAAAAATTCTGACCTGAGGTCGACTACTGTAATGTAGCGCGCAGATGCTAGGGTTTTCCAAAATATTACTTTGAAATGGTAATGGATAGCATGATCCCACCATGACTTCGTTAAGCAGACGAAAATCTGTGACGACCCTTACTATTTTTTCGTTGTTGGCCCTGGTTGTTTTGCTACTATCCAAATGTTTGAGCTGTACGGGGAGGTGGATGGTTCCACTATCCCCTGCTCTAGCATTTTCTCTAGTTCTGTCTTCATTTGGTCTCTAATCGACGGTGGGTATCTATACCTCTTTGCAACTATTGGTTTATTTGTTGTCGTCTTTATTCGGTGTTTAACAAGATGCGTTGCTTTTAGAGGTTCTTTGTCAAGGCCGAATACGTAGTGGTTTAACTCGATTAGTCCTCTCACATGGTCTATTTCTTCATCGTTGCAACTGGCTGTATCTACGAGTTGCATTATTCTGTCCACCCGTTTCAGTTTCTCTAACTCTTCTTCGTCTTTTGTAAAATTTTCTGTTTTTTCTTCATCACTCCCCATTTCTTCGTTAAATAACATTATTACCGCTTCCCCCAAGCTTTGGTTTGTCCCCGTCAACGTCTGAGTGTTTCCGATAAATTTCTTCGTAACTTAGCAGCTCTACTTCCAGAACAGGCACAAATCTCGTCTCATCACTTATATTAATACATTCTGCAACTATCTTCCCGTTGATATTTCTCGCAATAAAGTTCCCAAATAATATTCCCTTCTTCATCTCTTGGAGTACGCATAAATAATTTGTTTCGATCTTGCAGGAATTTTAAAACACTCCGGCTTTAACAGTGGTATCTCTACATCTTCTAATTTAATTATATTCTCGGCGGCGCTCATCTGGCCCCGATATGGCTTAAACGTATTCCACCCTATGATTCCTTCCACGTCTATAGGGAAGTCATGGAGGACAACGTGTAATATGCACTTCAGCCCTTGTAACTGAGCCTGTTCTGTGCCCAATGTCTTGCGTGCTCCGTGAGTCACGCCAATAATAGCCACGTGGTACCTACTGTCTATTAGCATGTCAGTGCTTAAAAAACTATCCTTTATAATAGAAATCTCCGCACCAGTATCTGCATAAACAGTTGCCTTTCTGCTTTTTTGCTGTGGTCCTTGTAACTGAACCGATGGTGGCCTATGCCCCGTTCTCGCGAGTTTTATAGTTTTTCTGGGAAGCTGCTTTATTTCTTCGTCACACTCCGAAAGCTTGGGTTCGTCATCCTCTATATATGTGTCTGACGCCCTTGTCCGATTACTCTTTTTGCGGGCTCTCCTCCCTCTTCTTGTACGTTTGCCCTTTGTTGTCTAGGAGTATTTTTGCATTCTGCGTTCTTACTTTCTATTTTTTCCTGCACTGCGTTAGTATTCGAACTATTGTGCGTCTCCGCCTCCACTACTTCTTGCTCCGCCTTTTGCGGCTTTTCTCTCGCACCTTCTTCACGCAGGACACGCTTTTTTCCGTCTCTCTCTCTCTCTCTCTCTCTCTCTCTCTCTCTCTCTCTCTCTCTCTAGTTCATGCTCGGCGTTTGGGGACCACGCCATACATCTTGCGAGTTTAAAGCAGCCGATCCGTCTCTCCTATTATCAGGGTCGTATTCAATGTTTCTTTGCTGCGGTGGGCGCCTATCTTGTGGTGGCCCTGGTCTTACAAAGTTTCTATTATAGCCGTCCCTACTGTCCTGATTTGTGTAGTCGTTTCCATAACGGTTGGATGCGTCCCCGTTGTTATTATTATAAGGGTCACCGTAACCTCGGTTAGAGTAATAATTACTGCCCATGGGATTGTAGTTATTGTACCAGTTATTATAATCATTCCTATCATAATAATTGGCATTCCTATTGTTGTAATTGCTGTTTCCGTTATTTCCAGTGTTGTAATTGTTATTTATGTTGTAGTAGTTATCATTTCTGTTGTACGGCTCCGATGGACCATTGTTGTAACCCCTGTTATAATTGTTGTAATTATTGTAATTATTGTACTTATTATTTCTGCCCCTAAAATTATAGGCATTTCTGTTGATATTGGTATTTTCTACGGGTTAGTTATACCCTTTGTTACGCTGTCTCTCCTCCTCCTCTCTGTCTTGTTTACGTGAGCAGCAGTCTCTCGCGTAGTGTCCCGGTCTTTGACAATAGTTGCAGTTTCCTTTTGTTTCCCTCCCGTTATCTCTTGACGTTCTTCTGTCATTTATCAAAGCCATTAATCTTCGGCATTCCTTGACTGAGTGTCCGGTTCAGCCGTCGCAGTATATACAGCGTTTTTCACTTGCTGCTGCCCCTTGTGCCCCATTAGTAATCTCCGTTCTTTTTTTTTCCTTGCTTGCTAGATTTACTAGCGGTCCCGTCTCGGTCGTCGTATTATATGTAGGCAGTGCACTCACTGGTATTGCATGCCGCAAACTAAGGTCGCTCTCTATTTTCAGCGCCTCTATGATTTCTTTATAGAGGATTCTCGAGTTAAAGCATGTGATCTTACATCTGTACGTTGGCTGCAAGTCGTATGTGAATTGCTTGACTGCCTCTGCTTCTGCGCTTTCTTTCAGAACCTGCTTTTGAATCGGAAACAGGCTTGGACTCGAGTCATGTAGCATTGTCAGTCTATTATACAGTCCTTGTACTCTCCCGCTATAGTCCTCTATTGATTCTCGGCTTTGCTGCCTGATTATTTTCAGCTGTGCCATCAGCGTGTCTGCGTTGTTGATGCTGCCGTATCTCCTCGACAGTTCCCGAAGAAATTCCTGCACTATTTCAAACGGGGCCAGTCTAGGCGCAAAATGTTCGGCCGCTTTTTCTTTCAGTCTGCTCGCAAGCGTACCAAGGAAAAATAGTTCGTTATACGGACCCACCATTTGCGCGGTCATCCTCACCATCCTTTCGAATAGCGGCAGATTGATTGGATCGCCATCAAAAAACGAGATGTTGCTCGCCATATGATTGAGCGAGGGCAAAATGTTATGCTGCACATTCTGTGGTCTGCGTGGGTGATTATAGCTGTTTGTCGCTTGTGTGTAGTCCGTAACTTGGGGTCTAGTGTGATCTGTGTCACCTCATATTCTATCCCTATTTGCCTCATAATCGACTCGGTTTGTATAGTTACTATTCGGTTGTGGAATCGCTGTTGTGAACGCGACATCCTTTATCCTTTCCAGTTTATCGCTCATATTTTTTATTTTGTCTAGTAGCTATTGATTGTGCAAGTCTCTTATCCCGGGATTCCCAGGCTCTTTATATTCGAAGCCAGTTGCAGTAAAATTCAGCCACCCTTGTCTCTCTGGCATGCCATATTGTGTCTTCCGCGTATTCATTCTGTCTGCTCGAGCTTCGCATATTTCCTTGGTTCTTCTCACGCTTTGCTCGATAACTCGTTCGCCCGAAAGAGGACTGGCCCCTCTGTTCACAAGTCCCGTGTTTGTTTCTGTGTCGCGAAACATACCGTTGGGATTTATCTTTTCCGGTGATAAACTTCGGACGGTCTTTGTGACCGTTCTGTGTTGTGCATCCGTTTCCTCCACTTTCTTTAACTTTGCCCTAATCTTTAAAAACAGGCCCATTACTATCGCCTTAGTTTTCTCGTCTAGATCGTCAAGTTTCTCACACCCCTCTGGTTCCAGCTCTAATTCCAACATCTGTTTCTTTATGTTTTCCTTTTGCTGCTTTCTACTGGGCCCTGGTGTGCACGTGTCGGTTATTATTTTACCCAGGCCTTCGTTGTCGCTTTCTGACTCATGGGTAATGTCGCCGAGATGAATCATTTTTCCTCTTACTTTTTTTTTTTTTTTCTCTTTGATTCCGACAGTGCTTATTTAATCTCGCGATTTGCCTGCGTTTAATTACTTGTGTCGTGGCCTAACAATAATCGGACGAAAGAATAATAAGGGGTGGGACGAGAAAGTAAAAGGGCAGTATTCGTCTTGCACTTGCTTTCTTTAATTTTGTGATTTATTTTTGTGGTGGTAAATGGGAAGAAATATCTTTTCGGGGGTATCTGTCGATTGCTTTCGTAAAAAAAAAAATGATAACAGTAAGAATAGTGATGAATACTGCAGCCGATATGGGTGCGAATTATTATTTCCAGACGTTTCCTGTGTCTGTGATTTTGGTTTTCTTAAGTGTATCTGTTTTGCTCACACAACACACCCTGTTCTTATTTGACAAATTCGACTCACTCTGAGTCTCTGTTGTAGGCTCTGAGTGAGTGTAGACGCGTGGGTTTGTTGTATCGGAAGAGATAATGCTGAGGGTCCCTCTACCAGCTCTCGATACGATATACATATGTTATGTTCAGGTCCTAATATTTGGTCCCTTTCACCTAGCTGCAGCAGCTTGAGAGAACAGACGGGCGAGAGAGTCTCCCTACTTTCCGTGCTTGCTCCGATTTATGACACTTATCCTCTCCTAAAGACGCTGTTCTCTCTCCCCTCTGGTCTCTGCTGTTTCCTGTTTTTGACTGACTCGTCGAGTTTTGCGTTATGAGTCACTTATTTTTCTCCCTGTTCTCGAATTCTTTTATCACGTGAGTCGTTTTCCCAACAAAAATTCTACTAATCCAATGCGTTTTAAGTCTATTTTATCGCGTGATTTATGTTTTGCGTTTAAGAAAAAACACTAAAAGTGCGAGCAGGCGAAGTAATAAATTTATT